TACATAGTATAATATATATATAGATAAATATAGATATAAATACAGAGAAATATAGATAAAAAGAAAACAAATACATATTTCTATATATTTATTTATTTATATTTAACAAATATAAATTTATATTTATTTATTTATATTAAACAAATATAAATTTATATTTATTTATTTATTTATATTTATAATCAGGAGACAAATATTTTTCTACTGTTTTGCCTCGTCTCCCTCTCTTAGTTAAAATATTTATATAGAAATAAATATAGAGATAAATACATCGATATATAGATAAAAACAAAACAAATATAAATAAATTATTATTTATGTATTTATATTAAACAAATATAAATTTATATTTATTTATTTATTTATTTTTATTTATATATTCACGTGCAGTCTCTGCTGACCGAAGACAAATATTTTTCTACTGTTTTGCCTCGTCTCCCTCTCTTAGTTAAAAATATTTATATAAATATAAATATAGAGATAAATACATCGATATATAGATAAAAATATAATATAAATTTATATTTATTTATTTATTTATTTTTATTTATATTCAGGGGAATACGTGCAGTCTCTGCTGACAGAAGATAAATATTTTTCTACTGTTTTGCCTCGTCTCCCTCTCTTAGTTAAAAATATTAATATTTATATAAATATAGAGATAAATACATCGATATATAGATAAAAATATAATATAAATTTATATTTATTTATTTATTTATTTTTATTTATATTCAGGGGAATACGTGCAGTCTCTGCTGACAGAAGATAAATATTTTTCTACTGTTTTGCCTCGTCTCCCTCTCTTAGTTAAAAATATTTATGGGGCGCAGCTGATGACGCTCAGCCAACACAGAAAAAGAAAAGCATTCAACAGGAGACACATTGAGGCCTTCATACCGGAAGCAAAATGCATCGCTCTATCTAGGTATTTATCTTTTTATTTATTTTTATTTATTTTTATTTATTTCTCTTTTTTTTATCTTTTTTTTGGTGTATTTATTGGTGTATTTATTTATATTTTTATATGAAAAGCATTCAACAGGAGACACAGAGAGGCCTTCATACCGGAAGCAAAATGCATTGCTCTATCTAGGTATTTATCTCTTTCTTTCTTTCTTTTTTTTATTTTTATTTGTTTATTTATTTATTTTTTTTTTTATCTTTTTTTTGGTGTATTCATTGGTGTATTTATTTATATTTTTATAAACAAAAACACTCAACAGGAGACATAGAGAGGCCTTCATACAAGAAGCTGCTCTCTCTAGGTATTTATTTATTTATTTATTTATATTTATATTTATATTTATATTTATATTTATATTTATATTTATATTTA